CTCTGGGTTTGGGCTTCAGCTCAAGGAGAGCACTGTACTGCTTGAGCCACAGCGCCACTTCCGGTTTTCTAGTGGTTTATTGGAGATAAGAGTCTCAGGACTTTCCTGCCCGGGCTGGCTTTGAACTGCGATCCTTAGATCTCAGCCTCCTGAGTAGCTAGGATTACAGGCCTGAGCCACTGGCGCCTGGCTTAGGCCAACTTTTAAAATCATTTTACTGTAGAAAATATACAAAAATAGAATTTATTCCTGTGCCCATCTTTTGGGTGAAGAATTATCAACTAATCACTATACTTCAAGTATTATTACACCAGTGATTATACCTCAAATATTAATATTTCGTTGTGTGTGCCAGTCCTGGGTCTTGAACTTAGGCCCTGGGCACTGTCCCTGAGTCTTATTTTTTCCCCTTAAGTTAGGGCCACACCACCACTTCTGGGTTTTTGGTGGTTCATTGGAGGTAAAAAGTCTCACAAATTTTGTTGCCTGAGCTGCCTTTGAACGACAATCCTCAGATCTCAGCCTCCTGAGTAGCTAGTATTATAGGCATGAAACACCAGTGCCTGGCCAAACAAGACAATTTTTTTTTTTGCCAGTCCTGAGGCTTGAACTCAGGGCCCGGGCACTGTCTCTGAGCTTCTCTTGCTCAAGGCTAGCACTCTACCACTTGAGCCACAGTGCCACTTCAGACTTTTTCTGTTTATGTGGTACTAAGTAATTGAACCCAGGGCTTCATGCATACTAGGCAAGCACTCTACCACTAAGCCACATTCCAAGCCCCCAATAAGACAATTTTTAATATCAGATATCTCTAGTCTTCAAACTTCTTTCCAAATGTTTCATACATGCCCTAAGTAACTTTTTGTTTGTTCTTTTGACTCAGTTTAGAGGTAACTTCACCCATATAGTGATTGGATGAATGATTGAAATATAGTTTACATCTCTTTTAATCTCTAGGTTTTTCCCTTCCATTTTTTATTTCCTTGTAATTTTTTCTTAAGCTGAGAAAACTATCATTAATTCCATGCAGTTTCCCAAAGTTCATAGCTAGTTTTGCCCATGGTGGTGTTTTAATACATTTCTCTGACCTTTGTATTTCCTGAGTTTTAAATCTTCATAAGAACTCTTTTGTTCTTCCAAGATGTCTGCTTTTCTGTCTTTTCTGTTGTGATATTGGCAGATGCCAAGCATATTTTATTGCCAGCTAAGTTGTTCGTCCTTCCTTCTTGCTAATTAGAACTACTGTTTAGCTCAAATGGCAATTTGCCACAACCCAGGATAGAAGTCATGACTGACTGAGTCACAACAGTCCTTATTTCCTTTGCTTTCAGTTGTTCTAGAACTAATTAGTGAAATATGAAGAGAAGTTTATTGAAGGAATGTTCCCCTGGACTAAAAATGAGTATAAGAAAAAACTAGTTTTTGCTTCTGCTCACTCCCTGCTTGCACTAGTGCTGAGAGAAAATAAAATGCCTGGTGCCACGGTAGCAACATGATTTCACACTTATTTTTGTTCTTTATATATGACCATCTTCTTATTTTTGGAAACTTAGAGGATTTTATTGTTTCCTACATCTTTGTAGAACAGTTCTTCAATCTGTTTTTACATCTCACTGAGTTCTTCAGTTATGGTCATCTTATTTACTATCAGTTACATTGCTTCGACAATAATATCTCCATATATGGTACTTCTACATGTTTACAGTGATTTTGTGTTCTTGCTGTATAGGCTGATATATTCTCTGATCTCATTAAACAAGTTTACTTTAGATACTGTGTCCTAATAATTCTTCCACAAAGAATATATTGTTTGCTTTGATATCTTTCTATTTTGCTTTTCTCATATCTTGGGAACTTGTGTTCCCTGTAAAGATGTGTGTTGGGTCAGATTGAAAGTGAAGTCGTAGTTAGTGTTGACCCTTAGGGTGTGAGTTTAAGGAGAGAAGAATGAAAGAACCTGAGTTAAAAGATCAGGCATCACCATGCCATTGCAAATCATTGTTGCCAGTCTACCCATTGTCTCACTGGGGGGCGGGGCAGCTATTTCCTATTTGTTGATTAGCTTTGAGGTCACAATAATTCTTGTTTTTCGCCTTATTTTTTTCCTATTAAGTAGTTTGTTTCTCTATTCAATAAGCAAGACAAGTATTTCTATTATTTGTTCATAGTTAATGAGCCTTTCAGCAATTTTTCTTTTTTTCTTTTTTGTGTCGGTTGAGGGGCTTGAACTCGGGGCCTGGGCGCTATCTCTCAGCTCTTCAGCTCAAGGTGAACTCTCTACCACTTGAGCTGCAGTGCCACTTCCCATTTTCTGGTGGTTTATTAGAGATTAGAGTTTCACAGACTTTCCTGCCTGGGCTGTCTTTGAACCGTGACCCTCAGATCTCAGCCTCCTGAGGAGGATTACAGGCATGAGCCACCAGTGCCTGGCTCAGGAGCTTTTCCTTATCCTTCTAGTGAGCATACAATTGTAATTCAAATAGGACGCTTTTGACTTGTGCAGAGAGCTATAGATAATAGGTTGCCCAAGTCTTTCCTGGGTGCACTCTTTAGTATACCAACCAAGAGTTAGTTATGTTTTACATAATTATGAGAAGCTCAGAGGTTTAAATGTCTTCAGCTGGTAAACAGCAGTCAGGTATGCAGAGCAATCAATTATTCAAAGTATAAATCTGGATACCCTATCCATGCCAATGATCTTTCTCAAGTATGTAATATTCCAGAATCCTTTTTTTAATCCCTTATTCTTTTCTTTGTAATTGTTTTATTTTCTCTTTTAATCATCTTCTTTTTTTCCCTTGTTTCAGTATCTTTTCTTTGCAAACTTCAATGTTTAAAAGGAGTAGGGCCTAGGAAGGGGTCTCAGTGGTAGAGTGCTTGCCTTGCATGCATGAGGCCCGGGGTTTCATCCCTCAGCACCACATAAGCAGAAAAGCCAGCAGTGCCGGTGTGGCTCAAATGGTAGAGCCTAGGCTAGCTTTGAGCTGAAGAACTCAGGGGCAGCGCCCAGGCCAGAGTTCAGGCCCCATGACTGACAAAATAAATAGATAGATAGATAGATAGATAGATAGATAGATAGATAGATAGATAGATAGATAGATAGATAGATGGATGGAGAGAAAAAGAATGTGTGAGGGATGTGTGGCAGGGAAGGAGGAATAGAAGGGAAAGAGATAAGGCAGATTTGAGTAATCTACTTTTTTTATAATTGCAGATTTGCAAACTTTTGTAGGTCGATGTATAAGGAAAAATAAAGTTATAACTGTGAATACTGTAGAGGAGGGAGATGTAGTTTCTTAAAATGACAGGCAAAAACTAGAACTGAAGAAACTCTGCTTGTGTTACCAACTATCCTTCCTTTCTTCTTCCTTCCTTCCCTTCCTTCTCTTTCTTCTATTTCTCTCTCTCTCCCTCTCGCCTCCCTCCCTCCCTCTCTCCCTCCCTTCCTTCCTTCATTTCTTTTTGCCTGTCCTGGGCTTGAACTCAGAGCCTGGGACTATCACTTGATCCAGAACTCCACTTCCCACTTTTTGGAGGGTAATTGCAACTAAGAATATCAGAGACCACTGACTTTGAACTGTGGTCCTCAGATCTCAGCCTGAGTAGCTAGGATTATAAGCATGTGGCCACCAGTGCCCACCTCTATTCACCTCCCCCACCCCACCCCCCCATGAGGCCTGAACTCTGGGTCTGGGTGTTGTACCTCAGCTCTTCAGCTGAAGGCTAGCACTCTATCACTTGAGCCATAACGCCACTTCTGGCTTTTCTGCTTATGTAATACTGAGGAATCAAACCCAGGGTCTCATGCATGCAAGGCAAGCACTCTACCACTGAGCCACCTTTGCTGCCCTTCATCTTTTTTGACATTAAAAAAAAGTCTAATTCCTCTATAATAAGTATGCTCTTGTCTGGTTTTCTTGGCAGTAAAGACTGAGAGGAGGGAGATGTATCTCATTCCATGATGGTGACCCTCTTGGTATTTATGAATGTGTGTGTGTGTTTTATAGAGTCATATATGACTGATGTGGATTCCTGTTAGTTGAGCTTTTCTGATGGAAGGGTGAGCAATACATTCCATGATAGCTTTCTGTGACAATGTTAGCATTCTTCTTCAGTGTAAGTACTTTATATTAAAGGAGAGAAAATTTTGTGAATAGCCAGTTGACCTGTATATAATGTTGAAATATTGAAAACAAACGCATAACCCAACTAAAAACACTTGCTTGTTTTGAAAGGTTCACTAGGTGCCCCTTTCAGCGATGTGCCTCAGTCATGCTTAAGAACGAACGGAACGACAAAACATAGACAGGAGTTTTGCTTTGCGTGTCTGGGCTTCCTCCCCCTCCCGGCTGTTAGTGTGACACAGCAGCTCGCTTTCAGCGACCTTGTTTTGTAAAGGCTCGGTTTGTAGTGAGTCCGAATCCGTGGTTCCTGAGATACTCGCAAGGGGAGAGGTCCCGCTCCTGCGTCCGGGCCAGCCATGTGGCAGGGTGGCTGTGGCAGTTGGGGTCACTGTAGACAGTGTTCTGACCAGCTTCAAGAATGGCCGTGGTTAGAGTTGAACTCATGGCTCATGGCTGCGGGTGGACCTGGGCTTCGGTGGCGGCTAACACCCACGTGCGGTTATAACCGTGGGGGAAGACTCCACCTGCTAAGGCAGCACTGACTTCAAACCTCAGGATGGAGACCATTCCCTTGTCAGCCAGGGCTGGCAACTGCACCCGGCCCCTGCTTCCGGTGTCTGCTCTGGAGAGCAGGGTGGACGCCTGCCCGCCATTCTGTTGGCAGTAGGGTGTCCGAGGCTGCCGGCGAGGGAAGGGGGGAGGGGAGGGTCATCCGCAGGAGAGCGCGCCAACTGGAGGTCAGCAGCGAGGCGCACGTAGCCCCAGGGCCTACTCTCCTTAGGCTGAGGCGCGGACCCTGCCGGCCTCCGTTCCTTTCCGCTCGCCTCAGGTGCAGCGCAAATCCCTCCGCCGCAGCGTGCATTCCCCGGTAGCGCTACGATCGGCTTTCCGGAAATACCCGGATGGAAGGGTAATGGCCGCCGTCAGAGGCTCGCAGGCAATGGGGACCACGACAGGTATTCCCTGTGTGCGGGACCGCCAAGACCAGTTAGGATGATCGGACTCCTAGAGGGTCAGCCAGGGGTGAAAGGGAGAGTTCGCGGGGTGACAGGGTGCCCCCCCAGGTTCCACAGGCCTAGGGCTCCCATTCTTGGGTAGGAAGCGTACGTTAAATAGTCCCGGCCATTCAGCGCTTCCGCCCAACTTGTCCCAAAGTTTTTCTAGAGAAGTCTTTTTTCCTCCTTGCCCGTCGCCCCCTCCCCCGGCTGTTCCGCGGGCTGTGACCGCCGGGCCCCGCCCCTGGTCGTGGGCTCGGGTTGAGTGCGGGCAGTTGGAGCTGTCGCCCTGGCTCTGGGAGCTCACACCCTCCCGCATCTTGGGAGCGGTGAGGCGCCGGCGCGAACGGTGTTCCTCCGCGCCCGAGGGGCGGCGGTGCCCGAGAGGAAGGGGCGGACCGCGAGCTGTTTGGGGCGAAGTGGGACGCCGGGCTCCTCGAGCGCCTCGTCAACTCCCGCGGCTGGTGGCGACAGTATGGGCTGCCCGCGGCCCGCACCCCTCGAGCTGTAGGTTTGCTGGTTGGCAACTCGACGAGTTGGCTTGACTCGACGGCACCCTTGTAGCGGCCCCGTCTAGAGAGGCCGGGGGTTCCTGCAGACGCCCACTCCGGGCGCACACAGCCGTGGCGCCCTCCTCCAGGCGGGCTAGACGCCCTTCCTGCAGATGCCACCACAGTTTTGGCAACTGAGTTCCCTCTAACTGGCCTTTTTACCTGCTGGGTCCGTCTTGAATCTGTTCTCAGCCTGGTGTTCTCTTTGTCAAGTGGTAGTCTGACTAGATGGCTTGAGTGTCTGAGGTAACTTCCCTCTCCCCAGCCTTTCACAGACCAACGCCATGGATCTACCTTGAAAGTCTAGAAAACAAAAGTTAAAGCTCAGTTTTTTAATTTTAGGTTTAAATTGGGGGCATTTCATGTTTTTAAGCCATTTAGGTGAAAACATGGTTAATTACCAGAAATCTTACTTAAAAACCCCTGGGGGGGGGGGAGGAGAAATGGGTCAATGTTTAAGAATTCATAAAATTGTTGGACTTAAATGATTGTCTACATGATATTACATACTACATCTGTGTTCAAACTTAATTTGAGAGTTTATATCTTAGGTATGGCTTACTAATACTGTTGAATTGCTCTTCATTAAGAAGTTCACTTGAGTGTACTTTCTAAGGCTCATATCATCTGGTTGAATATGGATCATTTAAATTGACTCATTGAAAATCTCTAACATTTGTAATTTAACTGCAGATCTGCAAATGGATTCGTTGTCTTCCAGCAATCTATTTTTGTAACATTCATGACACCTATATTAATATTTTCAGTGTTAGCATTTTATAAGGAAGGTAAACATAATAGATGGTTGGGTTATGATCTTAGGAAGATAAAAGGATATCACATTGAATATCTACTTTGTACATTGAACTTTTAAATGCTTCCGATTTTTACCACTTCACATCATGTCCTTTCCTCTCTGGTTATAGTATATTGTGATTCCGTACGTTTTTATATTAAATAATATAAAGGGAACTATTTCAACTGATGTTTTAGCTTACTATGTTGCGATTCAAAAAGTTTTGAGGGCTGGGATGTAGTTCAGTGACAAAGTGCTTGCCTACCAGGTGCAACACTAGGTTCAATCCCCAGTACCCCCAAAAAAGTTTCTGAACTTTGAAGTAATACAAAGGGAAATATTTTAGCTTTAAATATGTAGTTTGTTCTCAGAGTACACCTGACAATTCCATTTTCACATTCTGAGAAACTAAATAATGTGTGTGCCTGTGCTGGTCCTGGGACTTGAACTCAGGGCCTGGGTATTGTCTGAACTTTTGCTCAAAGCTGGTGAACCACTTGAGTCACAGCTCCACTTCTGGCTCTTTGGTGGTTAATTGGAGATAAGAGTCCTACCGTCTTTCCTGCCTAGGGTGGCTTTGAACCATGAGCCTCAGGTCTCACCCTCCTGAGTAGTTAGGATTCATGTGCAAGCCACCGGCACCTGGTTGAACGAAATACTTTTAACCTATAAAAGTGCCATTTCTAGGATTTCATTGGAATGTGCTTAACACTCTCAAAATATGAAGGCACTAAACAAATTTACAGACTTGGAATTTTTTTCTTGTTGAGAATTGTTCCATAGTTGTGTTTAAAGAATGACCTGTAAAGTATTAGCTTGACAGCTTTCCATAATTTGGGGAACTAGTGATATTCTTACAAAACATAAAATATTTGGAACAATTATTTCTACTTCATAGTAGTTGGCACACTTTGTCCAAGGAGTTCAACACCCACAGATTTAAGCAATTACAAAATGAAAATTGTTGAAATTAAACAATTATACTGTGAACATGTACAAAGGTTCTTTTGTCTTTTGCTCAACAGTAGCAGCTGTATGGTATTTGACCTGTAGTATTGTAAGTAATCCAAGAGTGATTTTAAATATACAAGAGAATGTGCACAGGTTATATGTGACTACTGTGCCATTTTATACAAGACTTGAGCCAAGTTTTGTTATCTGTGGTAGTTGCTGAAGCCAATGCCTATGGATACCAAGGGATGACTTAAAAATCTGAGATTTTATGGCTTTCACCTTAAAGATTATCTATAATGTCCATTTTCAATTACATAGATGGAGAAATACCTTTCCAAACTGCTACTTCAAATTCATTCTAGATTTTGTAATTTTAATGTGATTTTACTCATTTTTGATCTGTTTGTAGTTGTTTGGAATTATTCTCACCGAAGTATTATGTATAGTAAGGCATTTAGTAAACTTTTTGAGGCAGTCTTGTTATATATCTTAGGCTGGCATGGAACTCAGGTACTGGTTTCTTCTGGCTTGGTCTCCCAAGTATTTGGATATTGGGATTACATGCATATAACATGCTTGACTACAAGTGGTTTTTGTTGCTGTTGTTGTTGTTGTTGTTGTTTTTGGGGGGGTCCAGTCGTGGGGCCTGTCCCTCAGCTCTTCAGCTCAAGGCTAGTGCTCTACCACTTGAGCCACAGCGCCACTTCCGGCTTTTTTTTTTCTTTTTGCTTATGTGGTGCTGAGGAATCGAACCCAGGGCCTCTGGCATGCAAGGCAAGCGCTTTACCACTGAGCCACCTTCCCAGCCCTGTTGTTGTTTTTTATAATACAAGACTTGAATCTTACCCATATCCTTCAGATACTCCACTAAAACAGTATTGCCAAAGCACTATAAACAGAAGAAAATCATTATTACAAAGTCTTAAAGTTTTATTGTTTGATCCCAAGTGTATAGTTTGTGAGTGAGGTATTTACATGGAGAGCAATTTTCATAAGATTGTTAGATAATAAGTGAGAAATACTTTAAAAAATATTTTGGAATTGGCATATATCTATAGTGTGAAGAGGTTTCACTGTGATATTTCCATGAAGTGAAAATTAAGAGCTGGTAAATTGGTTGTAAGTTAACTGGACTTGGAATCACATCCTGAAACAAATACTAGATCTGTGATTTAGGGCAAAACAAATTGCTCTATTTGTATTAAATAAAGATAATAAATTAGCTTAATTCTAAGCTTTGAGTTGTGACTTTTCATAAATTTGTGGCATTATCACTGAATTCAGAGGTTTTTTTTCTCCCTTCAATTATTTGATACACATAATCTGAATGTAAAGTATAATTGAATAAAAAATACAAAAAAGCTGGGCATGGTGAACAACACCTGTAATACCAGATATTCTGGGGGAAGAGACAGGAAAATTGAGAGTTTGAGGCTAGCTTGGGATCCTATTTCAAGAACAAAATACAAATGAAAGTGTTAGGAATGTGGCTCAAGTGGTAGAGTACTTGCCTAGTATGCTTAAGGCTTGGGTTTAGTCCCCAGTACCACTGATATATTTACTAACAGTTTTTACTGTCAAAAATTTTAAATACTTGTTTTTCATTTCCAGATACTGTCTCTTGATATGGTTCCTGCTTGTGACATTGTCAAACATTAAATTTTGTGCCTTCTGTTCCTTGAAGAAAGGTGAGGATTAAAATACTGTAGTATAAGTAGTTTCTAAGTTTTTAACAGTGGACTAAATCTAAAATAGTTAACATACACGTGAATTTTTGTAAGTTAAAAGTTGAGAGTCTTAATTTTGGCCACAGTAAGACAGTTATATATGGGTTTTCATTTTAATGCAAGCAGAAAAGTAATTTTTGGTTTTATAGTTTCACATTAGAGTTCTAAAGATGGCTTTAACTATGTCATTCTTCTAAGTGTAGACTTTTTATTAATGGCTCCTGGTCATGAATAATGGAGATGAATATGATAGAAACATGTTTCAAAGCTAGATAAATGACCAGAAGAATGTCTGTGTTTTACTCTAGCAAGCGCTAAATAATGCACCTAAAAGAAAAAAATACACAAACATATTTACATTATGATTAATGGCATCTACATTATGAATCAGAAAAGGTACTTGGGAATCACTGTAGTTTTGTGACTAGTTTCTTGTGGACAATCATCTATCCGGATGAAAAAAAAGGATAATAATTGGTATAAGGGATTAGCAGTAGAAAATGTGGTTTATTTGCCCTTGACACATGGATTTCAGTGCTTTGTTGCTTGTGTTGCTTGAAATCCCAAAGTTCTTGGTCGAGTCAAGAATTTTTTAATACTGTGTAGCCAGTACATGAAATACACATATTTGTATAACCCTAAATTTGGAATAAAGATTATATATGTCACTATTGAAATAGCTGAAGCCAACTATACTACTTTACTTACTCTAGGAATCATAACCATGATCTTCTGTGAACAATACCAGCAGATGGCTTCTTTTTCAGAACCATTTTTCACAAAAGCATGAATTTTTATTTTTGTCAGGAAAGTATGCCTGAGCTGGATACTAGTGGTTTATGCAAGTAATCCTAGCTACTTGGACCCAGATCCAGAGGATTTCAATTTAAAGCCAACACTGAAAAGAAAAGTCCAGAAGACTCCATCTCTAAATATAACTAGCAAAAAAATCCAGGCTGGAACATGGCTCAAGTGGTAGAGTACCAAGCAAGCAAGTAAGCCCTGAGTTCAAACTCATATCACCTCCTCCCAGAGAAAGGAAGAGAGAGAGAGACAGAGAAAGAGAGAGAGGTAAAGAAAGAAAGGAAAAAGAAAAAAGAAGGGAAAAGAAATTCCTGCCAACTATATTGAGAACAACAAATCTGAGTTGAGATACCAGGCTATCATTTATGTTAGTAAACATGTATTAATAATATTGTTTAGTAAATCACATAACATTTGGTTGACCATGTAAAACTGTGGTGTTCCTTAGTAGAAAGTAATGCTTAATACTAAGTTTTCTATGCTGTGTTTGAGCCAAGTGATTTAGAAAATATAGGGGCTGGAGATATGGATTAGTGGTAGAGTGCTTGACTAGCATGCATCAAGCCCTGAATTTGATTCCTCAGTACCACATAACAGAAAAGGCCGAAGTGGTGCTGTGGCTCAAGTGGTAGGGTACTAGACTTGAGCAAAAGAAGACTTGGCCAAAAAAGAAAAAGAAAATATATAATGAAGAGTGAAAGCTTTGGATACAGTAGTGAAGTAAGAAAGAAGCTGCTGAATGATAACTTACCAAAATGATTTTGAGTATTCTGTCTTCAAAGATTGTGAACAAAATCTGATGGTGTGATTGGTATTGCTGCATGAAAAAGCATCTGAATAATAGAATGATTGTGAATGCATTAGAGCTTAAAGTTAATTGGGCTTCACAGAGATCTCATTTCAAGAGGTAGTAATGGGCCAGTTACTGGTTGCTCATACCTGTAATCCTAGCTACTCAGGAGGCTGAGATGTGAGTTCTAAGCCAGCCTGCACAGGAAAGTCTGTGAGACTTTTATCTCCAATTAACCGCCTGAAAACTGTAAGTGGAGCTGTGGCTCAAAGTGGTAGAGGGCTAGCCTTGAACAAAAAAGCCTAGGGGCAGCACCCAGGCCCTGAGATCAAGTCTTAGAACTGACAAAACAGCAAGAAGAAAGGAGGTAGTAATAGCTGAAAACAAATGGCTTCATAGAAAGTTAAGTAATTCCAAAATACAGTAATGTATCAATTTCTATCTAAACTTGGTTGCAGATGATATGGCTGGTAGAAGATATACATACTATTTTTGTCAAGACCATGAGTCAAGTATTATAATCTTAACATCCAAGCCTAGTCATCCCTATTGCAACAGTTACTCAACAGAACCAGTCAGAATCCTTTAGAATTGACATGTAAATGCTATGAAAAAGATAGTTCTTTTTTTTTCTTCTCACATTGTTAATCAGGGAGAGGGTTAGTGACATTCTTTCCCACATGAATGAGAAGCTCATTTATTGTGGGAAAAAGTAAAGCCATATAGAGATGAAAACAGATGGTGACAGCACGAGCATCAATCTTAGGGATCATGGTTTATGGTACCTGTGGTTTTGATTTTGTGAGCTGCCTTGTGGTCCTTGTTCCTTGGGTTAATAGTCTATTAAACTGTTTGAATTGCATTGCTGCAGAAAGTGTACTAATAATTATAAAGTCCTTATGAATTTAAGATGTAGAATTTCAAGTTGATAATTTACATCCTATAAATTGTCTTTTTCTTCCACCTACTAAAGGTGCATTTCTTTTTTTTGGGGGGGGGGCCTGGTCGTGGGGCCTGAACTCAGCTTTTCAGATTAAGGCTAGCGCTCTACCACTTGAGCCACATTGCCACTTCCAGCTTTTTTCTTGCTGCTTATGCGGTGCTGAGGAATCAAACCCAGGGCCTCATGCATGCAAGGCAAGGGCTCTACCACTGAGCCACCTTCCCAGCCCCACTAAAGGTGCTTTTCATTCATCATTTATACATGCATCCAATTCCCAAACAGTTGAATGTCTATTAGATACCAATATGTACACGTGCATGGATAATCAAGAATTATATGTATTAGGCTGAGTGGACTTTACCTAGTAGAGTATACTTTTATATAGTCTACATAGATCAACAAGCATGTGTTGAACATAATGCTATGCTTAGTATTTTAGAAATGCATAAAAGTTCTCCAAACTTATCTCACCTTAAAAGTGCTAACAGTTAAGGCTTCTTGAAGGAAAGTATGACTGAGTTTTGACCTATGAATGAATTTTGATAAGAATATAGAATAGGGCTGGATGGATGTGGTTCAGTGGTAGAGTGCTTGCTTAGCATGCATGAAGGCCCGGGTTCAATTCCTCAGTATCACATAAAACAGAAAAGGCCAGACATGGCACTGTGGCTCAAGCGGTAGAGTGCTAGCCTTGAGCAGAAGAAGCTCAGGGACAGTGCCCAGGCCCTGAGTTCAAGCCCCAGGACTGGCAAAAAGAAAAAAATATATATATAGAATAATTAAACCCCACAGTTTGAAGTGATTATAAGCTGATCAAGATTGGTTTAACTGTTAACAAAATCTATTTTTAGTGGTTTTCTTTTTCTTTTTTTAATAATAAGAGGTAAAGATACGAGCTGAGCTCATATCTGTAATCCTAGCTACTTGGGAGATGGATTGGGAGAATTGTTGTGCAAGGCCAGCCAAGACAGAATATATTCTGTTTGTGAGACACCTCCTTCTTAACCCATAGTTATGTATAGTGACATATGCCCATCATCCCACAATGTGTGGGAGGCTAAGATTGGAAGGATGTCAGTTCTAGGATAGCCCAAACAAAAAGTCACAAGACTCCTACCTCCATTGAGAGAAGCTGAATTTGGTGATGCATGCCTGTAATTCCAGTAACAACAGAAAGTTTGAAGTAGGCAGATCAATCCAGGCACATGCTGAGGTGGAGAAAAAACCCTGTCCTGAAAATAACCAGTAGGCAATCACTGATCACTCTTGCTTGTAATCCTAACTCCTCAGAAGACTGATATTAGAGGATCAGAGTTTGGAGCCAGTCTGAGCAGATAATATTTTGCCACTTTAGTGATGGTAAAATGTAAAGCTAAATAAAGTGTTGTAAATTTCATTGTGAAAACCCGTATGTATCTAGCTTGAAGATTTAAAAAAGTTTTTTTTTTCCTGACTTTTTTTGGTGTCAGTACCAGAGTTTGAACACAGGGCCTTGTGCTCTTGCTTGGCTTTTTATTCATGGCTGGCACTCTACCACTTAGTTGACACTTTCAGTCCACCTTTTTTGCCGGTTAATTGAGACTAGCTTTGAACTCTGTTCCTCAGATCTCAGCCTAAAGTAGTTAGAATTATAGGCATGAGCTACTAGCACCCAGCTTCAGTTAACTTAGAGTAACTATTGGAAAATTCCATTATATTAAACTTAAGTAAACTTTGACTATCAATGACTTGGGAGGCTGTATGGTTTCTGTTGAAGCTATCAGTGGTTATTGTAACATGAAAAAGCAACTGAAGATTACAATGTAAATGAGTGAGTAGCTGTGTTTCAATGAAACTTAATTTACAGAAACCGGCAGCAGGCCAAAATTGGCCTACAGGATTGTAGTTTGCCAATTTCTTTGGAAGACTTAATGAGCCATTTTATTTCTAAGCCACATAGACAGCATGTTGTCCACATACTATGCTAGCATCTTCATCCTCCACTGTAAATGAATTCTCCCTGTGTTGCTGTCTATGTTCAAGTCAAACTTACTGGCTAGATTCTATCCCTTCTAACCTACTAAAGGATGTTGCTACTGTATTTTATTTCCTTTATTGTCAGTTTTTCCAGTGTTACTGGATTATTTTACAAACAAGCATACTGCAGTTTCCTTTAAGAAACAAAATCAGGGGCTGGGAAGTTGGCTCAGTGGTAGAGCGCTTGCCTTGCATGCTTGAGGCCCTGGGTTCGATTCCTCAGCACCACATAAGAAAAAAGCCAGAAGTGGCGCTGTGGCTCAAGTGGTAGAGCGCTAGCCTTGAGCTGAAGAGCTGAGGGACAGTGGCCAAGTCCAGAGTTCAGGCCCCACAACTGGACCCAAAAAAAAAACAAAAACAAAAAATCAAACAATACAACAAACCCATTGAAACTTCTACCTATTGATC